TTTTGCTKTTTGGGTCTGCTTTGCATTTTCTGGCGTTTGGGTCTGCTTGCATTTTCTGGCGTTTGGGTTTGCTTTGCATTTTCTGGCGTTTGGGTCTGCTTGCATTTTCTGGCGTTCGGCGTTTTGCTTTTTGGGTCTGCTTTGCATTTCACTGGCGTTTGGGTTTGCTTTTCTGGGTCTGCTTTTTACGGCGTTCTGGCGTTTGGCGTTTTGCTTTCTGGGTCTGCTTTTCCATTGTATCTTTATCCTCCTTATACTTACCTCCTTATACTTACCTCCTCCTTACACTTACCACCTCGTTCTTATCATCCTTATCCGTCTCTTCTTGCCTTCTTGGTCCTCCCGTCTCATTCTTATCCTTCCTTTTCATTTTCTTCTTCCACGTCATACCCTTCCCTTCTCCCTTTTGTCTTCTCCATTACACCTTTCCTGTTCTCAAGGCCACATGGGCCTGGTTCTGTTATCTCTTGGCCTGTTTTTCATTGTGTCTGCTTGAGCGTCCGCATTGGTGTGCACTTCAGACTGATTTGTATCTCTCTCGTCCTTCCCATTCCTTCACTTCTGTCCAGGCCACACATGGTAGGGTGGTTGGGCTGCGGCCTGGGCTCTGTTCCATAGCTTATTCTTATCCAATCAAGTCAATTCTTGCCTCATGTCCTGTGTTCTATAGATTCATTGTAGCTCTGGCATTTGGAGTTAGGATTTAGTATTCTAGATTTAGAGAATCTTCTCGTGCATAGATGCGGTCTTTTTGGCATTTCTAAGCTTTTTCACTTGTAGACTTTGGAAATGTTTGTCAGTCAAGTTTAGCTGTAGAAAACAAGCGATGCGAGTGTAGGTAAATTGAGCTTCGGGAGATAACGCTTCGTGCAACCTCCCCTTGCACCATTTCTCAGCTTCCTTTGCCAGCTTCTCTCTCTGGCCCTAACCAGCTTCATCATAGGCTTAACAAGTTTCTGACAACATAATCATTACGCAGCTTTGTTTCCACTTTCTTTCTAAGGGCTTTCTCATCTTCCCGTATCCGTTTTCTCCCGACATACCCTTTTCTCGCCATTAAGCTTTCTTCTTTCCGATCCGTAAACCTACGTCGATGACTCTTTTCGGAATGTTTAGGATGTTCTCCTACGTCCCCTGTCCTGACCCGGCCCGTCCAGAAACTTTATTCTCGTTCTATTTGTCAGCTCTGTTGATTTCTCAGCACTTCCCAGCCTATTTAGTCTTCTCTTTTCCCCAATTCCTTCTTCCCTCCTTCCTCTTCCTCTTCCTACTTCACTTCATCCCTTCCTCTTCTCCTTCCTCATCCTACCTCATGCCTTTGCTCTATATCCTTTGTACATAGTCTTGCATAGATAGCTAGTGGTCAATAGACAATGTAGCAATCACATTGTAGTTGTACAATACAGCTAAGTATCCATCCCTCCTGTAACGAACTGAGCTAACCTACCTTGATAGTCTCCAGTCTCCTCCCAGGTCCGGCAGGGTCGGTAGGGAGTGGCCTGGGACCATTTGTAAGTTTTCCCTTCTTGGACACTGCTGACTCTGCTTTAGGTCCTTCCGTGCTCCGCATGGGCTTTCCGACACTCTTCGACTTCTTCTTCGACTTCTACTTCGACTTTTTCTCGATCTTAAATCTCCATGAACGAGCGAACCGATGACGAACGATCCGAGACTTCGAACGAACCGATTCTACGAGCGAACCCTTACACGAACAAGCCGATGACGAACGATTCGAGACCCGAACGAACCGATTTACGAACGAGCCATTACTACAAACCAATTCTACGAGCGAACCGTATACGAACGATCCGATGACGAGCGAGCCGATGCCGACAAGCGAACCCCATACTACGAGACCGAACGAACGAACCGAGACTACGAGCGAACCGATACACGACGATACTACGAACGAACCGATACCCCATCTTCGACTTCACCGTCCCGGATTTCGACTACATTCACGACTTCATTCACTTACACTCGGGTCACCCGACCCTCTCAACCAAAAACTTCTTTATTCTTATCTTCAATTATTCTTATCTTCTCTTCTTTCTCTCCTCCCTCTACTTCTTCTTTCCTATGTCCTGGCGGGTGGCAGGGACGGGCATGGGAAGAAAGCCTCTTGGCTGTCTAGCGTCCTGTGACACAGTAAGTAAACCCACTTCATCTACCCTTGAACAGCAAGCTAACTCCTGATCATGCTAATGATGCTGCAATCACTTATCTATCTCCAATCCCAGGCCAAGGTCGGGCAGGTTGGGAAGGGCCTGGGCACTAACCTTTAGGAACTAACCATCTCACACATTTCATAATGCTTCAATGTCTCACTAACCTCTAGCACTCACTAACATTTAGCACCCATAGCCTAAGGAGGGTGGACGGGATGGGCTGGGTTCCTTGCCGGGTGTGAGAGTGAGATGTAGAGTAAGTAACTCCCCTCTAGGTTTCTACTTGAGTGTATGCTAGCTGACGTTCTTCTAGTACGGGCGTGGGATAACCCGTTACATCTCTTGACCCTCTCACATCTTTTCTATGCCCCGGTTGGGTGGTTGGGAACGGGCATGGGTTATCCGACATCGGGGTGTGGTTTGTGAGGTAAGCAATGCACCTATTTCCTTTGCTGTTCTTTAGATACATGTACTTCAGCTAACTCTATATGTACGTATCTGCATCTACTCGCTCTACACACTCTCTGGAGTGCACTTGAGCATTTCACCTAGCGCTAGCTTTCTTCATTCAGCAATAGATTTGATTTAAATCAGTTAGAACCATCTTCTCTCAGAGACTTGATACTCAATG